CGCTCTTCCCAGTGATCCCCATAGAACACTTTCTCTTAGGCAAAAATTCTTGACATGTTTATGGTTCCCTTCACAGGTTTATAAAAGTCTATAAAACCCGTATGCAATTAAGATGCTGAAAAGGTATCCACAGAATCTTTTCCTCTACCTTTTTGTTGCCACTGAATGCTGTTTCAGCTGCTTCATGGGATAAATGCCTCTTGTGGACTGCCGTAGGAATCCAAATCACAAGCAAATTTAAAATTTTGCTACAGTGGGAGCTTTTCTGGTTTTCTCTCCACCTTCTCTTCCGGTATATAGTTTTGTTGTCATTTAATAGAGTGCAGCCTTTTCCAATTTATGATTGCAATTTGGTGTTTTTAATTTAGTTGTTGGCCAAAATCTACAAAATGCCCTTGAAGCCAATATTCCTTAGTGGGCGACTCGCTAGCTTGCCCCGAAGACTTCAAGAGCAGTCGGCAAGCAGTGAGGATGGAATTGAGTCAGTCTTGTCTGACTTTGATGATGATACTGGTAAGTTAATTGATTGGGCCTAACCAGGTTACTTGCTATGTTTGTATTCCCAAAAGCCTAAGCCATGAATTCAGTAGTTTACATATCATGAATGATCATCCATTTATGTTGTTATTATTTATAATTCTAACAGAACAAGCCTACCTAAAAGTTTCCATGGACTCTCCGAAAACATTTTACATCAGTGTCTCCAAACCAGTCCTTTTTAGATGGATACCTCCATCTAAAACCAGTGTAGATTTGCAGATTCCACTAAATATAGTTTTTAACTCCGAATTCTTTTGAATTTAGCAGATTGGACTGCTAAATATGTGGTTGCATATGGTGCATTGATACTTAAATTGGCTGGTAATTGTCTTTAATACCTTCTAGGAAACACAATCATTGTATAATTACTTCCGGTAGGACTATCTGGTTAGAGACTGGGGAAATTAAGTCATTACTGAAGAGACAATCTGTTTGTGACTGGTGAAGCTGAAGGCTCATTAAAAGAATAAATTTAAAAAATATGTTTCAAATTAGTTCCTGTGTAATTTCCTGTGAATTCGACTTCGCTCTAGTAACTTTGGATAATTTTCAGATTGGTTCACTCATGTTCACACATTTGCTGTCTTCTAATTCAGATGACCCTGTCCTGTTTCTAGACCTAAAAATGGAAATGATATCCTTAAAGAAGTCTAATATCTGAGCGTAGCTGTTTCAAACCCTTGCAAAAGGACTTTCTGGGGAAGGTTTTTTAATTTGCTTTGTTGTTTGTTTTTCATTATTCGTCTGTTTTATTTTTTGAGACACAAATTCACTTATGGGGATATCTAGAAATTTCCCAGTTTTCCATAGGGATTATAAACAGTAAAACCTTACAAATTCAGATTCGTTTTCAGGAAAAAAATACAGGAAAGAATAAATATCTACTGTACAGAACAATTAAATATTGGAAATTGGCTAGATGTTGCCTAATAGAGGTTTCATTTTTAATGATTAGATAGGAATTTTTACATAGCATCTTAAACCTCCAACCCAGACAGTTAAAAGCAGAAGCTAATGTTGCTTATCTATGATACAGTCTTTAAAACAGTTGTAAACAGTTTGTGTATGTAACAGTGAGCATTCCCTGCCCATTTGTGCAAATCGTTAATCCATTTTTTTTCTAGGCAGCCCATCTAAGGTTTCCCACAGTATAAATTCATTGAGGGCTTTAAAGTTATATATGAAACATAGCTAGATCAGAGAAAAGAATAAAAGTGAAAGCTTTGTTAGTATTAAAAATTACTTCTCATCATTGATATACTTAGATATTATTCCTCTGGGTTCCGAAGGCAAATAATTGCTTTTCCATTTTCCTATGGAAATTTCAAACACATATAAAACTAGACACAATGGTATAATGAACCTTCATGTACCCATCATCCAGCTTCAACATCGTTATTGGAGTATAATTGCTTTACAGTGTTGTGTTAGTTTCCGCTGTATAACAAAATGGATCAGCTATATGCATACGTATATCACCATATCCTCTCCCTCTTGCGTCTCCCTCCCACCCTCCCTATCCCACCCCTCTAGGTGGTTGCAAAGCACTGAGCTGATCTCCCTGTACTGTGCAGCTGCTTGCCACTAGCTATCTATTTTACATTTGGTAGTGTATATGTGTCAGTGATATTCTCTCACTTTGTCCCAGCTTACACTTCCCCCTCCCCATGTCCTCAAGTCCATTCTCTACATCTGCGTCTTTATTCCTGTCCTGCTCCTAGGTTCCTCAGAACATTTTTTTTTTTTTTTTAGATTCCATATATATGTGTTAGCATATGGTATTTGTTTTTTTCTCTTTCTGACTTACTTCACTCTGTATGACAGTCTCTAGGTTCATCCACCTCACTACAAATAACTCAGTTTCATTTCTTGTTATGGCTGAGTAATATTCCATTGTATATATGTGCCATATCTTCTTTATCCATTCATCTCTCAGTGGACACTTAGGTTGCTTTCGTATCCTGGCTATTGTAAATAGTGCTGCAATGAACATTGTGGTACATGACTCTTTTTGAATTATGGTTTTCAGGGTATGTGCCCAATAGTGGGATGTTGCGTCACATGAGTTCTATTTTTAATTTTTTAAGGAGCCTCCATACTGTTTTCCATAGTGGCTGTATCAATTTACATTCCCACCAACAGTGCAAGAGGGTTCCCTTTTCTTCATACCCTCTCCAGCATTTATTGTTTGTAGATTTTTTGATGACGGCCACTGTGACAGGTGTGAGGAGATATCTCATTGTAGTTTTGATTTGCATTTCTCTAATGATTCGTGATGTTGAGCATCCTTTCATGTGTTTGTTAGCAGTCTGTATATCTTCTTTGGAAGAATATCTATTTAGGTCTTCTGCACGTTTTTGGATTGAGTTGTTTGTTTTTTTAATATTGAGCTTCATGAGCTGCTTGTATATTTTGGAGATTAATGCTTTGTCATTTGCTTCGTTTGCAAATATTTTCTCCCATTCTGAGGGTTGTCTTTTCCTCTTGTTTATAGTTTCCTTTGCTGTGCAAAAGCTTTTAAGTTTCATTAGGTCCTATTTGTTTATTTTGTTTTTATTTCCATTACTCTAGGAGGTGGATCAGAAAGGATCTTGCTGTGATTTATGTCATAGAGTGTTCTGCCTATGTTTTCCTCTAAGAGTTTGATAGTGTCTGTCCTTACATTTAGGTCTTTAATCCATTTTGAGTGTATTTTTGTGTATGATATTAGGAAGTGTTCTAATTTCATTCTTTTACATGTAGCTGTCCATTTTTCCCAACACCACTTATTAAAGAGGCTGTCTTTTCTCCATTGTATACTCTTGCCTCCCTTATCAAAGGTAAGGTGACCATTGTGCATGGGTTTATCTTTGGGCTATCTATCCTGTTCCATTGATCCATATTTCTGTTTTTGTGCCAGTACCATACTGTCTTGATTACTGTAGCTTTGTAATATAGTCTGAAGTCACGGAGCCTTATTCCTCCAGCTCCGTTTTTCTTTCTCAAGACTGCTTTGGCTATTTGGGGTCTTTTGTGTTTCCATACAAATTGTGAAATTTTTTGTTCTAGTTCTGTGAAAAATGCCATTGGTAGTTTGATAGGGATTGCATTGAATCTGTAGATTGCTTTGGGTAGTATAGTCATTTTCACAATGTTGATTCTTCCAATCCAAGAACATGGTATATCTCTCCATCTGTTAGTATCATCTTTAATTTCTTTCATCAGTGTCTTTTTCTGCATACAGGTGTTTTGTCTCATTAGGTAGGTTTATACCTAGGTATTTTATTCTTTTTGTTGCAGTGGTAAATAGGAGTGTTTCCTTAATTTCTCTTTCAGATTTTTCGTCATTAGTATATAGGAGTGCAAGAGATTTCTGTGCATTAATTTTGATTCCTGCTACTCTACCAGATTCATTGATTAGCTCTAGTAGTTTTCTGGTAGCATCTTTAGGATTTTCTATGTAAAGTGTCATGTCATCTGCAAACAGTGACAGTTTTACTTCTTCTTTTCTGATTTGGATTCCTTTTATTTCCTTTTCTTCTCTGATTGCTGTGGCTAAAACTTCCAAAACTATGTTGAATAGTGGTGAGAGTGGGCAGCTTTGTCTTGTTACTGATCTTAGAGGAAATGGTTTCAGTTTTTCACCATTGAGAATGATGTTGGCTGTGGGTTTGTCATGTATGGCCTTTAATATGTTGTTGTAGGTTCCCTCTATGTCTACTTTCTGGAGAGTTTTTAATCATAAATGGGTGTTGAATTTTGTCCAAAGCTTTTTCTGCATCTCTTGAGATGATCATATAGTTTTTATTCTTCAGTTTGTTAATGTGGTTTATCACATTGATTGATTTACATATATGGAAGAATCCTTGCATCCCTGGGATAAATCTCACTTGATCATGGTGTATGATCCTTTTAATGTGCTGTTGGATTCTGTTTGCTAGTATTTTGCTGAGGATTTTTGCATCAGTGTTCACCAGAGATATCAGCCTGTGGTTTTCTTTTTTTGTGACATCTTTGTCTGGTTTTGGTATCAGGGTGATGGTGCCCTCATAGAATGAGTTTGGAAGTGTTCCTCCCTCTGCTATATTTTGGAAGAGTTTGAGAAGGATAGGTGTTAGCTCTTCTCTAAATGTTTGATAGAATTCGTCTGTGAAGCCATCTGGTCCTGGACTTTGGTTTGTTGGAAGATTTTTTTTTTTTCTTGCGGTACGTGGGCCTCTCACTGTTGTGGCCTCTCCCGTAGCGGAGGACAGGCTCCGGACACGCAGGCTCAGTGGCCATGGCTCACGGACCCAGCTGCTCCGCGGCATGTGGGATCTTCCTGGACCAGGGCACAAACCCGTGTCCCCTGCATCAGCAGGCGGACTCTCAACCACTGCGCCACCAGGGAAGCCCTGTTGGAAGATTTATAATCACACCTTCAATTTCAGTGCTTGTGATTGGTTTATATTTTCTATTTCTTCCTGGCTCAGTCTTGGAATGTTGTGCTTTTCTAAGAATTTGTCCATTTCCTCTGGGTTGTCCATTTTATTGGCATATAGTTGCTTGTAGTAATTTCTCATGATCCTTTCTTTGTATTTCTGCAGTGTCGGTTGTTACCACTCCTTTTTCATTTCTAATTCTGTTGATCTGAGTCTTCTTCCTTTTTTTCTTGATGAGTCTGGCTAATGGTTTATCAATTTTGTTTATCTTCTCAAAGAACCAGCTTTTAGTTTCATTGATCTTTGCTATTGTTTCCTTCATTTCTTTTTCATTTATTTCTGATATTATCTTTATGATTTTTTTCCTTCTGCTAACTTTGGGGGGTCTTTTGTTCTTTCTCTAATTGCTTTAGGTGTAAAGTTAGGTTGTTTGAGATTTTTCTTGTTTCTTGAGGTAGGATTGTATTGCTGTAAACGTCCCTCTTAGAACTGCTTTTGCTGCATCCCGTAGGTTTTGGGTCATTGTGTTTTCATTGTCATTTGTTTCTAGGTATTTTTTGATTACCTCTTTGAGTTATTCGGTGATCCCTGGTTATTTAGTAGTGGTATTGTTTAGCCTCCGTGTGTTTGTATTTTTTACAGATTTTTTCGTGTATTTCATATCTAGTCTCATAGCATTGTGGTTGGAAAAGATAATTGATACGATTTCAGTTTTCTTAAATTTACCAAGGCTTGATTTGTGACCCAAGATATTATCTATCCTGGAGAATGTTCCATGAGCACTTGAGAAGAAAGTGTATTCTGTTGTTTTTGAATGGAATGTCCTATAAATATCAATGAAGTCCATTTTGTTTAATGTGTCATTTAAAGCTTGTGTTTCCTTATTTATTTTCATTTTGGATGATCTGTCCATTGGTGAAAGTGGGGTGTTAACGTCCCCTACTGTGATTGTGTTACTTTCGATTTCCCCTTTTATGGCTGTTAGCATTTGCCTATGTATTGAGGTGCTCCTATTTTGGGTGCATAAATATTTACAATTCTTATATCTTCTTCTTGGATTGATCCCTTGATCATTATGTAGTGGCCTTCTTTGTCTCTTGTAACAGTCTTTATTTTAAAGTCTGTTTTGTCTGATACAAGAATTGCTACTCCAGCTTTCTTTTTTTTTTTTTTTTTTTTTACTTTTTATTTATTTGTTTTTGGCTCAGTTGGGTCTTTGTTGCTGTGTGCTGGCTTTCTCTAGTTGCGGCGAGCAGGGGCTACTCTTCATTGCGGTGCTCGGGCTTCTTATTGCAGTGGCTTCTATTGTTGCAGAGCACGGGCTTCAGTAGTTGTGGCACATGGGCTCAGTAGTTGTGCCTCTCGGGCTGTAGAACGCAGGCTCAGTAGTTGTCGTGCATGGGCTTAGTTGCTCCATGGCATGTGGGATCTTCCCAGACCAGGGATTGAACCCGTTTCCCCTGCATTGGCAGGCGGATTCTTAACCACTGCACCACTAGGGAAGTCCCTCCAGCTTTCTTTTGATTTCCATTTGCATGGAATCTCTTTTTCCATCCCTTCACTTTCAGTCTGTATGTGTCCCTAGGTTTGAAGTGGGTCTCTTGGAGACAGCATATGTATGGGTCTTGTTTTTGTATCCATTCAGCCAGTCTGTGTCTTTTGGTTGGAGCAGTTAATCCATTTACATTTAAGGTAATTATTGATATGTATGTTCCTATTACCATTTCCTTAATTGTTTGGGGTTTGTTATTGTAGGTCTTTTCCTTCTCTTGTGTTTCCTGCCTAGAGAAGTTCCTCTAGCATTTGTTGTAAAGGTGGTTTGGTGGTGCTGAATCCTCTTAACTTTTGCTTATCTGTAAAGGTTTTAATTTCTCCATTGAATCTGAATGAGATCCTTGCTGGGTAGAGTAATCTTGGTTGTAGGTTTTTCCCTTTCATCACTTTAAATATGTCCTGTCCCCCCCTCTGGCTTGCAGAGTTTCTGCTGAAAGATCAGCTGTTAACCTTATGGAGATTCCCTTGTATGTTATTTGTTGCTTTTCCCTTGCTGCTTTTAATATTTTTCTTTGTATTTAATTCTTGATAGTTTGATTAATATGTGTCTTGGCATGTTTCTCTTTGGGTTTATCCTGTATGCAATTCTCTGTGCTTCCTGGACTTGATTGACTATTTCCTTTCCCATGTTAGGGAAGTTTTCAACTATAATCTCTTCAAATATTTTCTCAGACCCTTTCTTTTTCTTCTCTTTTCTGGAACCCCTATAATTCGAATGTTGGTGCATTTAATATTGTCCCAGAGGTCTCTGAGACTGTCCTCAATTCTTTTCATTCTTTTTTCTTTATTCTGCTCCCTGGCACTTATTTCCACCATTTTATCTTCCAGCTCACTTATCTATTCTGCCTCAGTTATTCTGTTATTGATTCCTTCTAGAGTATTTTTAATTTCAGTAATTGTGTTGTTCACCACTGTGTGTTTGCTCTTTAGTTCTTCTAGATCCTTGTTAAATGTTTCTTGTATTTTCTCCATCTGTTTCTGAGATTTTGGATCATCTTTACTATCATTACTCTGAATTCTTTTTCAGGTAGGTTGCCTATTTCATCTTCATTTATTTGGTGGTGTAGGTTTTTACCCTGCTTCTTCATCTGTAACATATTTTTTTGTTGTTTAATTTTGTTTTTTGATGGGTGCTTCTGTATTCCTGTCCTATTGGTTGTTTGGCCTGAGACATCCAGCACTGGAGTTTGCAGGCAGTTGGATAGAGCTGGGTCTTGGTGCTGAGATGAGGACCTCTGTGAGGCCTTACTCCAATTGATATTCCCTGGGGTCTGAGGTTCTCTGTTCGTCCAGCGGTTTGGACTCGGAGCTCCCACCACAGGAGCTCAGGCCTGACCTCCGGCCTGGGAACCAAGATCCCACAAGCGTGTGGCAGGCGAAGTAATGGTCACCCAAAGACACGGACATCCAAATCCCTGGAACTGCCTGGCTGGTGCACGGCAACGGGGACCCAGGGCCGCAGGAGGGGCGGGGCAGTGGTCTCAGGTGCACAGGGCAGCCTGGTGTTCTCAGAGTCAGAGCCAGGCCATTTGCACCGCCCACGCTGCCCAGCGTGCCAGGGACTCCACCTGGGCCTGACAGGCCCGGATTCACGTCCGAGGTGGCTTCAGCTATTTTTAACTTATAGCCAATTTGCCAATTTTCTTATACATATCAGTTAATTTTCAAGATTCATGTAAGATCTACACTACATGTGTGGCTGCTCCATCTCTTAAGTCCTTGTCAGTCTATAGATTTTCGTCTCCATCTCTCTTTTACGTCTCTGCAATTTATTTGTTGAAGAATTAAGGTTCTTTGTCACATAGAGTTTTCCATTTGGATTTTATTGGTTGCTCCCCTTACAGTAGTGTATGACATGTTTTTCTTTCCCCTGCATATCCTGTTAATTAGCTTGTCCACCCCCACTTATATTTTGAGGTTCATGAGAATTTCTTGTCACCTGGTTTTCTTATATTTATTGTCTATGACTTTGGTTTTGGCTCCTGTTAATGGGGATATTCAAAATTGGGGAAGTGGGTTTTTTTTAATGGGAGTATTTCAACATTGCATCTCATACAGTTTTCTTTTGCTGGAAAATTAGAAGTATTAAAATAAGGTACAGAGTGAGCTATTTTGTATATTCTACTCTAGATACTTTTGTACCTCAGTAAACAAACTGTGCTATATACATACAATGGAATATAATTCATCCATAAAAAGGAATGAAGTTACGATACATGCTACAACGTGGATGTACCTTGAAAACATTATGCTAAGTGAAATAAGCCAGACACAGGTTAGCAGGTACTGGAGTGATGCGGAGAATGCAGAGTTGTTGCTTACTGGGTATAGTTTCTCTTTGAGGTAATGAAAAAGTCTTGGAAATTAATAGTGATGATGATTGCACAACATCATATGTGTAATTAATACTACTGAATTGCACATGTAAAAATGGTCAAAATGGCAATTTTTGTTATATATATAATAATTTTTTTAAAGGATTAAAGTGATGGAACTAAAAGGATATTATTACTTTGCTATCATCAACTTCCAATGAATCTAACAATTGTTTCATATAGTAGAATTTACATACCACATCACCTTCTTCCTGAAGGGGAAGAAGGAAGACACTTGAACAGTATTTTTTTTTTCTTTGACTTTGTCAGAACATGTAAATCATAATTTATCCATGCTTATAGGCGCTGAGGGCTACCTTACAGGGTGATGCCTTATATCCATATAGCGCTTGGTAGTTTTCAGAAGCCTTTTATATATAGTGTTTAGTTTGGTCTTGTGATGATTCTGTATCATGTTTGACCGAATTTCACAGAGGTCTGCTTTTGGTTTCCAGGTCTGATAGAAGTCTGGATCATTCTGCTGGAGCAGCTCACAGCAGCTGTGTCTAACTGTCCACGTCAGCACCAACCCCCGACCTTGGATTTGCTCTTTGAGCTGTTGAGAGATGTTACCAAAACACCTGGTAAATATTTCTATGTCTGTCTTTCGAGGGAGTTTGTTATACATATAACTTTTTTCAGGAAGGTATTTGTATGAGTGTCTGTTTCACTGATGTAACCCCAGAGAGCATAATAGATGCTCGATATATATATTTCTTGAACATTTAAGACACGTCCTTGTATTGTTTATGGGTTTCCCACCAGTCCATTTATAAATAATGGGTGGTGGCCAGATAGGTAAATATGTAGAACCCCACTATATTCAGGCCAATGCTGTGGTATCAATGTCTCCTTGAGCCAGTTGGCTTTGCTCTGTTCTGTGGTTACAGCCTTCCTCTGTGGCTGGGTCTCATATACTCCTGGCCCCAGGGCTGTCAGTAGGGCTTAACAGGTCTACCACTGACATGAACCAACCACTCAAATGTATGAAGACAGCAACATCTTAATTGTATAAGGGTCATATATTTGGGAAAAGACATCTAGTGAGTTCCTGATAGTACAGGAAATGGCCCTTGGGAATTTATTTCTTGTTCTGAATTAGTCAAGGTTAGCACGCACACTTACTCATCCAAATTTTCCCAAGATCGGAGAAATTTTTTATAGAAATTTTAGTTTTCACTAACAGAATTAGAACCACAAATGAAACCACTAGTTTAATTCTCGAGTAATAAGAGGAGTTTTGTATTCAGTATAAACTGATGAAGACTTGATAAGTGATACTGTTTTAAGATCCATAGCAAAGTTTTATATCAGAATTTTTTTCAGGAACACCATTATAGCTACTCCTACACATTAAAAATTTAAAGACTTCTATCCAAGAATAACCAGGTATCTTACAGTATTAATTATATGCCACTATTTCTAAATCTGTTTTATTGGTCAGTATCATTTTCTACTACTAAGTGTGTATGAAGAACGTTTTAGCCCAATAATTCTACTCCTAGAAATCTATCAAAGGAAATTAACAGTAATGAAGATAACATTCTATATATAATGATGTTTGATGAAACATCTTGAATAGCAAAATAATCATGAACACCCTAAATGGGTTAAATAAGTTATGGTAAAAGCATGTAAATACCTACAGGCATTAAAATGAATATGTGTGAATAATATTTAATGACATCAATAATTGTTTATAGGGCATTATGTTAAAATATATAGCATGGAGTACAATCTCAACTTTATGTGAAGCATTTATAAATATACACATACACCCAAAGATAAAACATTCAAAAAATACTAGAAGGAAATATATCAAAATATTATTTTCGGGCTTCCCTGGTGGCGCAGTGGTTGAGAGTCCGCCTGCCGATGCAGGGGCCACGGGTTCGTGCCCTGGTCCGGGAGGATCCCACATGCCGCGGAGCGGCTGGGCCCGTGAGCCATGGCCGCTGAGCCTGCGCGTCTGGAACCTGTGCTCCGCAACGGGAGAGGCCACAGCAGTGAGAGGCCCGCATACCACTAAAAAAAATAAAATAAAATAAAATAAAAAATTTTCTTCTTTATATTCTCGTGTTTTCTGTGTTTATTATGAAAATGATACCTTGCTTTTGTAGTCAGAATTTTTTAAATCCATCAACATTTCCACAAATATTTTTATTACAGTGTTGTTCATAAAGCAAAATATAGAAACATCGTAAATTTCCATCAGTAAGGGAATGGATAAGTAAACTAATGCATATACAGTGTGAATAGTTGGGAACAGTATGTGGTAATAAAACTGAGGAATATCTAATTTGCTGACACAGAATGATCTCTAACTTGTAACTGTTATGGGCAAAATATCAACATGCAGACCAAGGTTTACCTTATCCCATTTATATAAAAGAAGTAATAAAAAAAACTCTCTTATAAATATATGTACTCTTAGTTTCATATAAATATATGTACTTAGAGTTCAAAGGGTAAACATTTTCTTATATGTGTATATGTATTTGTATGTTTATGGGGACTGAGGAATTGATCAAGTGATACTTTAGCTTTATCAGTATTGTTTGAATTTTTAACGAGTATATTTACGTATTACATAATTAAAATCATGCAGAAACAAAAAAGAAAAATGTCACCAAAGACCATATATTTGCCAGTCAGTGGTAAATTCTTTTTCCTTGCTCCTTCTCAGAATGGGGAGCTCCCGCGAAAGAGGAAAGAGGTGGGAAGCTCTCTGCCGTCACTTGGCGCTGCCATTTTGTTGCAGGAGAGGTGCTAAGATCACAATTCTGATGCTGACCTTTCTTTTTCAGGACCAGGGTTTGGCATCTATGCAGTTGTTCACCTTCTCCTTCCTGTGATGTCCCTTTGGCTTCGCCGCAGCCATAAAGACCATTCTTACTGGGACGTGGCCTCTGCTAACTTCAAGCATGCCATTGGTCTGTCCTGTGAGCTGGTGGTGGAGCACATTCAGAGCTTCATCCACTCAGGTATCTATGGTGCCAGAGCAGCTCATGCTGAGTAGTTGTTTAGTAGACAGCAGCATTGTCTAGAAGTGCTTAGTAAACACCAGTGCATGATTTTTGTCCTGGGAATTATTAAAATAGAATTACATGGTTAGTGCCAGCCTTCTAATAGTAGGTTGTCAAGAAGAAAATTGGTACCCCTGTGTCCTCTACAAAATTATCAAACAGAATGCTTAAAATACATGTGTGACTAAAAATAAAACACCTAATGAGGTCTAGGATATCTGTGCATTAGGAGAGGGGAGGCAAGTTCAAGTATATAATAAATTAAAAAGAAGAAATACCCCTCTAGGCTGGGGGGTAAGGGAGAGAGTGTATCCTATTGTCCTGCTGCATCTGGGGAGGCTAAATGGAAGAGGCAGGGTTTTAGAAAAGGCTCAAATTAGGGGCAAGAGGTTACTGAACAGATTGGGGGGAAGAGGGGGGGGGTCTTACTATCTGTGGCACTTTGAAAAAGACTTGGAAGTGTGGGGTGGATAGTATGCTGAAGTCGACAGAGAGGGAGCTGTTATGTTAGCTGTGGTACCAGTGGAGCAGCATTTGTGAAATCGATTTTTGCCATGGAAAGATCTGGAAATTTGGGAGCAGGAGGAATCTTGCTGCTGGCCCTAAAGGTTATAAAGAAAAGGGAAAGACATACAGAAGTTTAAGGGAAGAGGTGAGGTCATACAGAAGTTTAAGGGAAGACGTGAGGTCAGAGGCTCCCTTGTTGGCGAGGTTAGAGAAACTCATGAGAACTTGACCCCAGGGAAGAGTCAAAAAGCAAAGATAAGAAATGGGGGTCTCCACTAAGCTTAGTAAGGACAGTTTGCCCTGCAGAAAACACACCGATCGAGAAAGAGGAAAAGTGGGTATTTCCACATGCAGGCACTAACTGCATCCCTAGTGGTAGAGTTTCTGTCCAGCTCCTGGCTTTGCACAGCTCAGGACCCTTGAGGATTCCACTGAGAACTGATTCTGTGGCATCGCAAGGACTTTGTGGAAAAGAACACTGGTGTATTCCTTGAACTGGGCAAACAAAATGTGATTTGGGGAGGTCTTATTTAGTCTGGGGACAGCATGCAGACTGAAGCCAAACTGAAAAGGTTCAAGAAGTGGTAGTTGGTATGAGAAGATTTTTTGTTTACTAAGAGCATTTAATTCGATCTAATGCAACGATCAGCCGTAAGGAATGTTTGTTTTATCTTTCCCTTTAAGAATTAAAATTTTTTACTAGCTAGTATTCAGGCTGTATAATAGTATATGGTCTGTTTTGCTTAAGCAGAGGAATTATATACTTTGAAAAGTGTACATCAACACATTAAAGTGAGCCACATGCATTTCATCTTGATATATCTAGAAATGGATGAAACAAGCTAAAATTAGGTAAAACCAAGATAAGTTTTGCTGTAATGAGTGTTTTATTTTTGTTGTTATTGTTATGGCCATTTTTCTCATTGTTCTGTTTCCCAGATACTTGTAAGTATACTTTTTGTATCGTTTAGCCTTTCCTCTTTTGCTGTAGTATAGATGCTGTCCAGCCCGTTCCTTTGCAATACCTCTGAGTGCAATCTTGCTTTGATTTTCCTGCAGACATCAGGTACGAGAGCATGCTCAACACGATGCTGAAGGACCTCTTTGAGTTGCTGGTGGCGTGTGTGGCCAAGCCCACAGAAACCATCTCCCGAGTGGGCTGCTCCTGTATTAGGTGACATAAAGGTTCCCTGGCTCTCCACCAAACTGGAGTTTTTATTATGAAATCCAGGGGAATTAAATTCTTTGATGGTAGCAGTCTACTTCTTATAAATAAAAATGACTGTGTGTAAGTCATTATACAGGGTGCTCTGCTGCCCAGAAAGTGATGTGACCAAGGTCCCTATACCCGCAGGGAGCATACAACCTGTTCTAAAGGACAAAGAGAGTCATGGGAAAAGTGATGATAGGAAGGAGGAACTATAAATGCCATGAAAGGACAAGGCGCATGGGGAGTAGAGCAGTCAGCAAGACCTTTTGTAGTAATGATGCTTGGTCAGATCTCCCAAGGTGGGTTAGCTTCCGATAGGTGGCGACTTTGTAAGCAGAAGAACAGCATGAACACATACGTGGAGATGAGAGTTACAAGTGACAAGAGGGTTTTATCTTGTTAGGTGTAGAGGAGTAGTGGCAAATGGGCTGGAATGGGAAAATATATAGAATCTATACATGCAAGCCTAAGTTTAAACGTCGGCCTATTTGTAGTGGGGATCCATTGATTTTTTTTTTTTTTTTTTTTTTTTTTTTTT